GTGCTCCATCTACGTTGTGATTGAATTGTATAGGATATAACTTAGCACGTACACAAATACACAACCACAAAAAGATTAACTTTATTATACTCCATCACATTATGCATGATAGAGAAACATCGCCTCAAAATGCCCTTCAACACACGACCTTTAACCATTTCAAATACAGAAACATTGCTACCTAGCGTTTTCGATTATATATACATCCATATAACGATATCATAAAAATGACCTTAACAAGACATGTCTTATTCACAAATCACAACTTTTAGACATTTATCAAGAAATAATCTCTCATTTTGCAAAACGGGTCTTTGAGAAATTAATTTACTTTGAGAACTCGCTATATAACTTCTCTCTTGCTTTTTCATTACACCATTTTGAGAACACTTGAAGAAATTCTACCTTTAATTCTAATTATTATTATTATTTAAATTTCGCTAGTAGCTGCATTTGGCAAAATATAAACATTGCGCAAAATTCTAAACTTGTTTCTCAAATATTATATTTAATATTTATTTTTTTCAAATTATTATGAGATTAAATAATGCACAAGTGTTTGGTATTCTTTACTAGGTTTTAAGAAGAAGCATACTCTGCAAATTTCCTTCATATAAAAGCATACAAACAAGCCTTTCTCAACATCATAATTCTCAAATCCAAATTCTCGAATAATTCTAATTTTGAAAATATCCGAAATTATTACAACTCATCATTGATTCTTACAATCAACATTCTTGTCATTGCACAAATGTCAAGCTTAAAACCGAGTATTGACTTGTGAAAATAAGGCCTTGAAATCTTTTGTTGGGGTCCCACTTCCCTCAGGTTTGGATGCAAGATCAAACGCCTTACACTTCGCCTCCTCAAATTGCAATGCCTACATTTACAAATACGTCACAACAAAGGGCAAAATCGTCATTTTTCACAACAACACAAATATACCTGAATACAGACTTCAGCCACATCTGGTCTTGCAATGGTTTTGGTTTCAGTCTCAAGAAGCTCATCATCTTTCCCAATAAGCAGCTCGCGGACCCCACCTTCCTTATCTTGCAATCCCCCAGCCCTACATCATCATCATCATCATCATCATCATTTGTGACAGTTAATTTAGTTAGTTAAAAATTTTAACTGTAATTCCAATTATAACCTTATAATTGTGTAGGGAAGGCCAGAGTCTGCTAGATACTGTTCAGCTTTTCTCTTCCACACCTGCAACCAATAATCACAGATGAAAAAAGTTTTTATTTATCTTTAAATAAAAAAAATTAAACAAACCAGAATATTCCCATTTCCTAAGCTGTTTAAAGGGTGGTTTATATTTGTTCCACCCATGGACCCCACAAGAACAATTTGCTTCACTCCAGCAGCTTTAGCTGTATAATTTATAAAGATTCACAAAGTTAAATAAACACAAACCAAAATATAAAACAGGTAATAAGTAGAAAGACGGAAAGACCCTTACCAGCATCTATCTGATTTTTCTGCCCTTCCCAATCAACCTAAAGCATAACAAGTTTAAAAGTTCAAGAATTTATAGTAGATAATGAAGAAACAAGTATTTGAAGGTAAGGGTATTAAAGTAATTAATACTTGTTCAGGGTTTGCTCCTTCTTCAAAAAAGAATTCAGGTCTTCCACCTTTAGTTGGATCAAAACCAGGTTTCATTTTAGGGACTGCACTTGTTAGAATTACAAGAGCATCGATGCCTTGAATAGCAGGAAGGATAGTTTCGGTATTTCTTATATCACCAACGAAAACATCATCTTCTCCACCAATTTTCTCCTTGCTTTCTTCAGTTCTAACCAAACCTCTTGCAATATACTCGCTTGATCTCTCCTTCAGCTTTTTGTAAACTATTTGACCTACAAAATGAAACAAGCAATAAATCAAACAAAGATGAAAGTCGATCAAGAATAAGATTGTGAGTGTATTCTTTGATTTGAGAACTACAAAAGTTAGTACGAAATCAACCAGTCTTCTGGTAATGAGTTAATCTACTACATACAAACGTTTGGAGTTTGGAATTAGAAACTCAAATGCAGATCTTCTTCCTTTCTAGTTTTCGTCAATTTCAGAGAGTGGAAACAACAAAAGAAGGTTCCAGAGAACATATTGATTCCGATAACTTATCGTTCGCTAGTGATGTATTATAATTCCGATCTACAGTATCAAATTTGACTCGGACATTTTCTGTTTAAAGTGTTTTGGAAATCATAATTCACAAGTCAACCAAGGATGAAACTCGTACTGTTATTAAAACCGCTGAACCCTATTAAACTCAAAACCGATAGCAAGGCTACTGAATTTCATAGCAGATAACCGAAAAGCCGTCTACTTCTACCAAAAAATACGCAATTCAATATAAAATGTCAAAAATGATAAGAAACTTTTGGGGAATAAAGCAAATATTTGGGCACAGATAAGTAGGACAAGTGGTAGATGAAAGGTAATACCAGTTCTGCCACCAGCTCCGGTGACGAGGACGGTGGTGCGGTTGGATTCCGACATCGAGAAAACTGAGAATCTCCTTCGGGTTGTGGAAGAAATTGTATAATTTTTGGTGCAGGTAGAAGTGGAACACTGATGAGGAAATTGTGAAAAGGTTGGTAGGACACGTGTGAGAGAAGCCATGGAGGGAGCTATCCAATGGATTTCAAGGAGGGTTTAATAAGTATTTGGGCAAAACTCCCTTCTTTCTTTCATATAACATAAAAAAAAGGGATATTATTCACTTATTTACAATATTTATTTACTATTTCAAATGAGAAATTAAATATCTTTCTATATTTTCTTTTTATTTATCTTTCTATCCATATCAAATGGTGATAAGTGTTACATTTAGATAAAACTAATGATATTTTAGAATACTTGTAATCATTTCAAATGGCTAGAAAGATAATTAAAAAGAAAAATAAGAGGATATTTAATTTTTCATTTCAAATTATTTGGTTTATTGAATTTATACATTTTATCTTAGAGACGATTTTGGCTTTGGTGTCGATCAGTTATGACACAATGTGGCAACAAAATGATAATCTCTAAGACCTAAGTTTCCAAAATAGCCATCAAAGACATTCTTTGAGATGTCGACATGAATCAAGGAAATAAGAAATAAGAAATGGAAGGATTTGAAGAACCAAAGAAATAAACGATAATATGGGCTACAAAATGATAATCTCTAAGACCTAAGTTTCCAAAATAGCTTTACTAACCGGTTGGTAAACGATATAGTTAAGGGGGAAATGTGGGTGTTTCAAAAGGTAAAGAAATTGTCAAAAATGGAAGTAAAGCAAAATAAATTCACAAGGTGTTGGGGTTTGGGCTTCCCTCCTAGTTAGGTTGCTAGCTTATTTGTATTTATACTGGTAAGTGTTTGGGCTTTGATGAGTATTGGATCAATTGGTCTTAAAATAAGATTTTTCTTAGACCAATATTTCTTTTAAAATTATATGATTTATTTAACTAAGTTTATTATAATATCTTAATTATTATTAATAATAGTATTAATTGATTTTACAACACCAATAAGATGAAAATTACATTTTAAAATTAAATTCAAAAATAGTATATAACTAGAAAAAAAACCATTACATTTATTTCAACATTCGAATACAATATAAATAAAAGCTAGTTGTTGAGTTAGTATCTTTATCCCACATATTTACTGATTTGGATAATATCTCTTATCCTGATTTTCATGAGTATATTCAAAATGAGCAAAAAACGTATAATGAGGAACTGAATAAAAAAGTCTCAAAAAGACGAACAAGGACAATGATTTCAATATCAAGGATCTCAATATCGAGCCTTAAAACCAACCATATCAATATTAAGGATCCAGAGAAGGAGTTCAAGATCAAGACCAACAATCTCAAAACTATAATCATACTTTGAATACCTTGGAGGAATGGGAAAGACAAAACTGTAAAATTGGTTCTTGTGGTTTTCTAAAAACTTTGGATAGGATCCAAAAAGTTTTTAACTTGTATGGAAGGTCCAAAATCAAGAAATTCCTACGATTTTAGTCCAAAAAAACTTAAAAAGACGATTATACCCTTATTTATTTACTTTTACATTTTTTTAACATTTTATTAACATTTCAATAACAAAAATATTAATAATAATAAGAAGAAAATAGGAAAAACTCTCCTTCTCTCTATCTTATGTCTCTCTCTCTCTCACACACAAACACATACTCGCAGGCGATCAAACCCAAAAGGCTAGAACATCTCCGACGTATCCCATCCTCCAATGTATGTTATCGTTCACCCCTCCCTTTCTCTTCAAAACCCATATACATATTTCACACACAGACACTAGTTTCTTCGCTTTTTTATATTTGTGATTGTATATAAAACCAGTTTCAAATTTCAATCTGAAGCCTGAAAATTACACATACATACGCACCGTTGGTAACTCCTCAAAATTCGAGGTTTCTCTAATAATCATGCATCTGGTCTCATCCTAATCTACTCAGTTGACTTGTGTGGTATTAGAATACAATGGTTGGTGGTTTTTGACACTAGTGAACATAACCCACCGTTGGTAACTCCTCAAAACTCGAGCACCATCGACCGATCTGATATTTGCTTCCCTCTCTCCCCACCGTTCAATAACCCTACCTGGAATCTATTTTCCAGTTCCAAAATTGGAATCCGCAAAACCGAAAACACATTGCATCTGATTTCAAATCGAAACTTGCCTATTTTTCTCTGTTACACACATCAAATTTCTTTTTCTTTTGATCCAATGTGACCATCTCAGTTCTCTATGCAAATTAGATTTTCACTAAACCTGAAAAACTTCTCCAGAAAGGCGATACATAGTTCAAAGTTTAATTTGACCTCTTGAAGGGGAATGGGGTTTCATTGGAGCGGTGTTTAGGAAACCTGCAGTGGGGTTCACTCATCAGGAGGCTGCACAATTGACAGCAGGATGCCGACAATGGGGTTGGGAGGTAGATTCTTGAAGATGAAATGACAAAAAACTTGTAAATGTTTGACAATGGGGTTTTACCATCGAGGTTTCGTGATGGCAGGTTTCAATCATCAAGAGGTGAACCCATTGGTTCAAGAAGGAGAGGGGGAATAGATGTGATGAGAAGTAAGATACTTACCGGCGATGAAGGGTGGCGAGAAATCTGGGCGGTCGACGGCGACCTTAGCGCGGCGACATTAGGGCTTCTCGACAGGAAAGGTGAGTGAGAATGGAGATCAATTTTGACGCTGATGACTTTTTGATGAGTGAGAGAGGGAGAAAAAAATGAGTCAGGGTGTTGTAGCTTGTAGGGCCCATTTCTCTATTATTATTATTATTATAAAACAATTAAAATAAATAAAGAAAATTTTAAAAAGAAATTAAAAGGGCATAAAAGTCATTTCAACTCTTTTAGGGACTAAAACCAAAGAAAGTTTCTGATTTTGGACATTCCATGCAACTTGAAAACTTTTTGGATCCTATCCAAAGTTTTTAGAAAACGACAGGGATCAATTTTACAGTTTTGTCAATGGGAAACGATCTTCACAATTTCTACATTTTTTTAATGTTTTTCATTTACTATCTATGTTATGTTTGTTAAGGTTGAATTATATATATATATATATATATATATATATATATATATATATATATATATATATATATATATAAGTTTGTTATTTAATAAAACTATTTTGTATTAATTATTTTATTTTGTTAAATCATCAAAAATAAAAAATATATAACAAATGAGTGTTTTGTATAGTTTTTAAAATACTTCCATAACAAATGAATATAAGTAATGTTTTCTTTTATTATTGAAAAATGGATAAAAAAAACATATGTAATATTATAATATGTGTATAGCTTTAATGGTGATGAACAATTTCACACCAATTCGCTTAGACACTATAGCGCTACATCAAAATGTCGAGAAGTATAGAGGTCCATTGGAGGAATATGGGTCTACAAAACACAAATTTGTAGGTCCGTTGGAGTTGCTCTTATGCAGAAAAGGGAGTGCAAGAAGGGAAAAAAGAGGCATAACTTAATTTGAGGGTTCTTAAAATTTGATCTAATTATATGTGTTCGAAGAGAGGCAGAGCTTAATTTGAGGGTTCTTAAAATTTCGTCCAATTTTATGTGTGGGAGAATCGTCAGTGTGTATTCGTTAATCGTTAGATCATCCTAAATTTTGGTGTGTCGCTTCAAGACTAATAGTTATTTAATATGGATGAGGGAGATCGTTAGTGAAGTCTTTGATAGAGTTTTGTAGAGGAATATGTTCACACAATAGATTTTATTTACCAGGAAACTCTTCTTGTTCATTCTTCTTTTAAGGGTTGTTTAGTTATTGACTTTTGGCTGGTGATTTGTATTTGGTTTGTCCTAGAAAATAACTCTCTTGTATTCTCTTATTTGCTATTGTTGGATTGGTTTATGGACTTGATCTTGTGGTTTTTACTCATTGTTTTAAGGAGATTTTCCACGTTAAAAAATTTGGTGACTTGCATTAGTTTATTGCATCGATATTAGTTTACTAGTCAAAGAAACCTAAATAAAATAGGAGACTAAACATTTACTAAAAAAGATAAGTATAAGTTCTTGTTGTTGTGATTAAATTCTTTTACCTCTCTCCAATTTAGAACATGAAGATCACAAACGTCTAACTTGCCAAGAAGATATCAAAAATTTCTCTATCCCAAGTGGTATGGTGAAGATATCGACAACTTGTTCATGCACAAAAAACAATCCGTTTTTACATGTTTAGTGCGTTCATCAAAGATGGGATTGTCAGCGATATGTTAGCTGCTTGATTATCAGAATAAAGATAAGTATGACAGATTGAGGTGCTTCAAGGTCTTGTAACAACCAACAAAGCCACAAAATCTCATTGACAATCGAAGTCATGACTTGATATTCAACCTCTACAGATGACCTGAAGATGCCATATTGTTTCTTCGTCTTCTTGAAAATAGGAGCATCACCCAAGGTGATAAAGCAACCAGTCTTAGAGCGACTAGCGAGAGGAAAACCAAGCCAGTTTGAGTCACAAATAGCCATAAGAGGGAGGTTACCAGTTGAGGGAAAAAATGTCTTTACCCGTGGTTGTTTGAAGATATAGAAGTATGAATAGAGCAACATCAAAGTTTTAAGATAACTGACAAAAAGGGTTATATCTTGTCGAGCAAATTGTAGGTATAGGAAACTCCCGATGAGGTGTCGAAATTGGCTAGCATCTACAAGAGGAGTGTGTTCAGATTGAGGACAATGAGCCTAAGATATGACGAGGACTTTTAGAAGGCCACAATATGTGTGGTACTTGAACCATATTTATGATACTTATTTTAAACCTCACATTTTAAAAACATCTAACTTTTGGGACTGTTTTTTACTTTTGGGACCGTTTGTTATTTCACAAAACTTTTAAATTATAAACTTTTATTTTAAAAATAAAAATGGTTTAAATGTGTGTTTTCAAACTACCCGACGAGGGGTGTTATGTTATGTCACTAATGAATTCCTAAGTGTTGTTAAAACAATTTGAACTAATAATGAATCGAAGTTTGTCAATTAGAAATGCCAAGAACTTTTTGCTTCAAAAGGCATAGTCCATCAAAGAATTGTACCTTATACTCCCTAGTAGAATGGAGAGTTGAAAGAAATAATTAAGACTTGCTTCAAATTACTAGAGTTGTACTCATTCTATCAATTATGCCAATTAGTTTTTTGGGGCATGATATACTTATGGCTACATATGTAATAAATATATTGCCAACATGTATCATATAGTGGCAAACTCCATTTAAAGTTCTTCATGAAAAAGATCCATTATACTCCAATGTAAAAGTTTTTGGTTTCCTTTGTTCCATTGCAAATGTAATTCCTCATAAAACAAAGTTTGAATCAAGAGCAACATGTTGCTTCATTGGATACAATCCAAGCCAAAAGTCCTACAAATTATATGACATCAATGAAAAAGATCCACTATACTCCAATGTAAAAGCTTTTGGTTGCCTTTGTTCCGTTGTAAATGTAATTCCTCATAAAAAAGTTTGCATCACGAGCAATGTGACATCCCCAAAATCACGGCCACAAAAGACCGATTTTTGTTTATGCTTTATGAAAATCAGAGTACTTCATTTTATAAAAAGGTTGCGGAATTTGTTCCCAGAAAAAAACATGGTAAATACGTTATTAAAACATTTTCGAGGAAATGTATTTATTTCATTTTAAAACGTTTGGGATGTCATCGCTAATACCGAAACATAAGCATAAACAGAACTTACAATGATTTACACTAGTGATCTACATCTCTTTAAATCTCTCAGTGTAATGTCACTTCACTTCGTCACCTGTGATATACATAAACTGAGTGGGTCAGGTTGGGAAACCTGGTGAGTACATAGGGTTTTCAACCCACAATAATATAATTATTATGTTCAATCAAAGAATAAACCCAATTACCCATCCCCGTTATCTTCTTTACTCTTAAGGATTTAACCTAAGAGTCGTCTATCCTGCATTCGTTTATTCCGAAGTCCCTTACTTCCAGGGTCATAGGACTGACACTAAATCCATAGCTGCCAATGTTCGTTCGTAAAGCGCTAATTCCATAGCTGCTATATCTTACTCATCGGGTACTAAATCCATAGCTACCAGTGCTCAACAGGTACTAAGTCCATAGCTACGAATTCCTACAGGTACTAAATCCATAGCTACCAGTGTCTAACTAATAGGTACTAAGTCCATAGCTACCAACTCCTAACAGGTACTAAATCCATAGCTACCAACGTCTGACAGGTACTTAGGTGTTTGTCCCTTGGCGCAACAACATCCTTCTTGGCCTAACACTTTATCAGATGGCACAAAAAGTTCTCTTGTTGATCCATATCACTCCTAAGTGTTCCAAACCTTTTCCAAGTGCTCCAAACCCCCTTTTATATAATCTATTCCTTTGGAAATTGATTTGTTCCTTTTTAGATGATCCATTCCCTTCTCAGATGATTCGTTCCTTTGTTACATGCTCCATGAACCCTATGTACTCCATTAAATTCCAAGTGCTCCAGGAACTTCCTATCCCTTCCTCCCATCAATCCCCGAAGAGGTTTACCTCCTAGGAACATCAATTAAGTCTAAGAAAAGATCAAACTTCTTTGTGGGCAACGACTTTGTCAACGTATCTGCTGGGTTGACCTTGGTATCAATCTTTAGTATTGAAAACTTGTCTCCTTCCAGAATATCCCGAATGAAATTCAGCCTGACATCAATGTGATTTGTCTTCTTATGATACACAAGGTACTTAGCAAGACTCAAAGCACTTATATTGTCACAATATAATACATGCTTCTCCACCTTTAGACCAAGACTCTAAATAAGCCCTTGCAACCACATCCCTTTCTTTATTCCTTCCATTGTAGACAAAGCAATGGTATATTGTATCGTTGACTTCCAACTTATGACACATCTGGATAAAGTGAATGTGTAGCATGTTCATAACCTACGTTTCAAAAAATCACCACCATAATCAGAGTCATCATATCTCACCAAGTTACTCTTTGTATTAGCTCCATACATCAAGCAAACATCCGTCGTTCCATTCAAGTATCGCAAGATCCACTTTATAGCTTCCTAATGAGTCTTCCCTGGATTGTTTATAAACCTGCTAACCACACTAATTGCATGAGCAAATCAGGTTTGGTACATACCATAATATATGTGAGACTTCTAACAACACTTGAGTATGGAACCCTGCTCATGTACTTTCTTTCTTCATTAGTAGTGGGTATAGTGTTTGGACCAAGTTTAAAGTGAGCCGCCAAAGGAGATCCAAATGGCTGGGACTGATCACAATTGAAGGATTGCAGAACTTTCTCAATGTACTTCTGTTGAGATATACACAACCGTCATGCTTTTATTCCCTTTGTATCTATATTCCAAGTATCTTCTTTGCTTCTCCCAAATCCTTTATTTCAAACTCATTCTTCAAGCTCGCCTTCAATTCATTTATTCCAGTTATGTCCTTGGATGCGATGATCATATCATCAAAATATAGCAACATATATATATATATATATATATATATATATATGTAGGAATAGGGTGACAATTCCTTTGAGTAAACTCAATTGTCAAACTGGCTTCGAGTATAGTCATTCAAGTTCATGAATGAATCAAATCCCTAATACCATTATCTTTGAGACTGCTTCAAACCATACATGAATTTCTTCATCAAACATACATGATACTTCTTAGATTCAAGGAGACCTTTTGGCTAGGACATATAAATCTTCTCTTCTAAGTTCCCATGAAGAAATTCAGTTTTCACATCAAGTTGTTCAGCTCAAGATCAAATTCACTCACCATGGTCAAATGAGCCTGAATTTTCTTGTGCTTCATGACCGGTGAGAACACCTCGTGATATTCCTTTTTTCTGAGAAAAACCTTTCACCACCAACCTTGCCTTGAATCTAGCTAGTTCAACTCCTGGTATCCCTTCCATCTTCTTAAAGATCCGTTTGCATCCCACTGGATTTGATCTCTTTTGTAATGGAACAAGAACTAATGTTTCATTCTTCTCTAAAGATTGCATTTCTTCATTCATGACCATCAACCAGTCATTTGCTTCTTTACTCACCACAACCTCTTTATACGATTGATGCTCCTCATTGTCAATGTCATCTCCAGTTGCTAAAGCAAAAGCAATAGAGTCAAGTTCACCTGAATTCACACATCCCATATATCTATCAGGTTGTCGAATGACCCTCCTTGATATTCTCTTTGCTATAGATTCAGACCCATCATCCTTCCCGACATCAACACCATTGGACAAAGATCCCATGAGTTTCTCTTGGGTTTCATCTTGTCCAGGTTGTTCACTACCACTTTTCTCTTTGTCACTTATCACAAATCTGTATGGAGTTTAAGTTGCAAACACCACCTTCTGGCTAGCACCCTGATCTTTGTTCCCTGCTTGACTTGTACCACCTCCTCTCTAGTTAACTAAGTGTAACGCCCGTAGATCCGGGCTAGTCAATTAGAAACGTTAAGC